TGAATAGAGTCCCCAAGTCAAAATGTAAGATCTCTCCTTATGAGATATTAAAGAAAAGACAATCAAACTTGTCTTATTTGAGAACTTGGGGTTTTCTGACTTATGTCAGAATTTCGGATCCGAAACGAGTTAAACTCGCTAGTAGAGCATATGAATGTGTTTTCATTCGGTATGCAGCAAACAGTAAAGCATATAGGTTTTATGACCTAAAGGCAAAAGTGATCATATAATCAACTGATGTTGAATTCTATGAAGACAAATTTCCTTTCAAATTGAGAAATAGTGGGGGCACACAATCGAGTCACATTCATGTGATAAGAAGCACAGAAAGCAACGACAATGTAGAAACAGAACTTCAACGAAGTAAACGAGTAAGAGTTGCTAAAGACTATAGGCCTGATTATGCGGCTTATAATGTAGAAGAAGATCCAATGAATCTTCAATAAGCCTTATCATCTCTGGATGTTTAGTTATGGCAAGAAGCTATCAATGATGAGATATAATCTCTAGAATCTAACAAGACCTGACACTTAGTAGACTTGCCTCCTGGTTGCAAACCAATCGGTTGTAAATGGGTTTTGAAAAAGAAACTAAAACCTGATGGAACTATTGATAAATACAAGGTTTGCCTTGTTGCCAAGGGTTTTAGACAAAGAGAAAATATAGATTTCTTCGACACTTTTTCTCCTGTCACTAGACTTACATCCATTAGGGTACTTATTTCAATAGTTGCTATTTATAACTTAATAGTACACCAAATGGATGTTAAAACAACTTTTTTAAACGGTGACTTAGAAGAATAAATCTATATGAAACAACCGGAAGGGTTTGTGATCTATGGATAAGAAAACAAGGTTTGTAAGTTAGATAAGTCTTTGTGTGGGCTAAAACAAGCTCCAAAGAAATGACATGTAAAGTTTGATAACTTAATAATATCGAATATGTACAAAGTGAATGAAAGTGACAAATACGTTTATTACAAAATTGAGAATTGTATTTGCACTATCATATGTCTATACGTAGACGATCTACTCATATTTAGATCAAACATCCAGGCCATTAATTATATGACATCGTTGTTGTGCAACAACTTTGATATGAAAGACCTCGGAGAAGTGAGTGTGATTCTTGGTATCAAGATCACAAAATCCGAGCAAGGAATTTCTTTGGATCAATCATAATATGTGAAAAAGATCTTAAAGAAATATAATTACTTTGATAGTAAACTTGTGAGCACACTAAATGATCCAATCGTGAAGCTGTTTAAGAACACTGGTGAAAGTGTTAGACAAACAGAACATGCGAGCATCATTGGAAGTCTTAGGTATTCCATTGATTGTATTAAACCTGACATTGCATATGTCGTGGGATTGTTGTGCGGGTTTACTAGTAGACTGAGCAATGAATATTGACAAGCTAGTGAGCGAGTCATACGGTACCTTAAAAGGACCATGAATCTCGGTTTACATTATCATAGATTTTCTATTGTACCTGAAGGATATAATGATGCAGATTGGAATACCTTATCAGATGATTCCAAAGAAACTAATGGCTATGTATTCAACATAGCTAGATGAGTTGTATCTTGGAAATCAAAGAAACATATTATCCTGAGAATATAGCATTAGCGACTGCTAGTGAAGAAGCAAGTTGGTTAAGATGCTTGCTAATTGAGATTCCCTTATGGGAAAAACATATGTCAGTTGTGTTGATCCATTGCGATAGTACCGCGACTATTGCAAAAATTGAGAACCGTTATTATAATGGTAAAAGACGTTAAATAAGAAGAAAGCACAGCATTGTTAGAGATTGTATCTCTAAAGGAGCTGTAAGAGTGGATCATGTACGCACTGATGAAAAATTAGCAGATCCTTTGACGAAAGGATTAGCTAGAGAGAAAGTCTATAATACATCATATAAGATAAGACTAATGCCTATAGGAAAATGAGTTGCTCATAATGGTAACCCGACCTAAATGACTGGAGATCCCAAGAAATAGGTTCAATGGGTAATAACAAGTTATGAGTAATATGAGATGATCATGCAAGTAAAGCATGAATCCTGAAGTAATAAGAGGATGAGATAATAGAAACTCTTAATGAGATCTATACTCTGTATGAGGGAGTACCTAGGCTACAGGAATACTCTTGATAGAGTCACCTATGTGATTGTGGAACTTAGGCCGGTTCCTATGGAATTTCGAGGCAGAATTCCTAGAGCCTTCATTAAACTGGGATACACGTGCAGGGCCATTAAAGCACGGACTATTAGAATAAACCTTAAGAAAAAGTTGTGTGCGGGTTTGATGTCTGAGATAGAGTTCAAGACATTTGTGTCACTCTTGTTGAATTGGAATCCTACTTGCTATGCAAAGGTTCAAGTCGTAGACACCTTTGTTTATGCACAATCTTAGAAACGTTTGACGTTACTTCTAAAATCAATTTTTTAAATTCAAGTGGGGGATTGTTGGAACATATCCATGTTCCAATATGTTGAATTTAAAAATATCTCAAGTCCCACATTGTTAGAATATTTTTTTGGTTGAAAAAACCATTTAGTCCCACATTACTCATGTGAGAAATATTAACTATCCTACTTCACTGTATAAGGAGTGCATATGTTTCATTCTAAATCACACCAAAAACTATTCTATTAGTTTTTCCTTCCTCACTCTCATAACGCTGCATCTCTCGAATTGTCGAAGCGCAATTTTCTTCCCCTTTCTTCCTACTCGTTGAATTTTCCGAGTATTTTCTTGAATTCTCTTTAGAGAATTATGTTAATTTCTCCTCATTTGAGTTGAGAAATTTTCAAGTTTAATATTTTGGATTCTCTTTGGAGAATTATTTGAATTTCTCTTTGTTAGAGAAATTATTATGAGTGGTCAAATGACCATTATTAATTTTTCTTTGGAAAATTATTTGAGTTTCTTTTTGTTTGAGAAATTATTATGACGGGTCTTTGTATTAGATACTACGAGTGGTGTTGATACCATATTTGAATGGTCTTGTACCATAAGAGGGTGTATTTCTAGACCGATTATCTATCATGCAAGTAGTAATCGTACAGTATAGCATTTGGCTGTTTTATCCTGGAAGCGGCGCGGTAGTTCGACTGCTTTGCATAATTTTTAAGCAGTGCCGCGAAACGTCTTAAAGAGAGCGACCTAGTCCGCGACTCAACTTGGTAATTTCTTCGGTGGCAAATATTTTAAAATTCGAAACCAACATAAACAAGGACGAAGGGACTAGGGAGCAATCCTATCATTGACGGAGCAGTTGACATGGATATGGCTTTTTTCTTGTGTTGGATTGGATTGGAAAGGGAAGGTGCTGCCAAAAGTATGGAGATTTATAGGCTTTGCCTCAGCTGCTGTTGGACTCATCTTTTATGCACTAAGTTCTTGTTTAAACTATCCCTTTCGAAATTGGAATCTGTTGAATATTTTACTTTACTGCCTTTTCAATATCACCATCTGCTTGGTGATTTTACTTGTAAAATTGTTACTAGCCTTACACATGACGCATATTCTAACCAAAATTTATAGATTGGTGTTGCAGCCAAAGGTGTGGAGATTTGTAGGATTTGCTTCAGCCGTTGTTGGACTGCTATGCTATGCTCTAAGCTCTTCCTTCAACCGCCTATTTGGAAATTGGAATTTGTTCAAGATAATTCTTTACACTCTTTTCAGCTTCATCATCAGCCTCATGATTTTGTATGCAAATATATGGAAGTCATCTTCAAGTCTCCGATTCAAAGCTCATACAGCTTTCCTGGTGCTAACAATCACTTCTGTCTATTCATTCTTCTTTGACAAAGTTGTGAATGGGAAACCAGATGCATATAGTCTCGTTTCATGTGCTTCCTTTGCTATCATGTCACTCAGTTTGTCAGGGCGAACTCATTGCGGAGTTGAAATTGATCTTCTCTACTTCTTCCTCGGATGTCTAATTGTGCAGCTCATGAAGATTAGCTTGCAGTTACTCATTCTTGGAGCAGGTTTCAGCTACTCCCTTATTATTCTTCGTTCTTCACTCTCTTCAACAGATGATGGAATAGAAAACGAGTATTTTGACCCGCAAGGTGAAAATTCACTTGTCCTTGAAATGGATTCATTACTACTGGAACAGTTTAAAACTTGTATGAAGGGAATTGAAGAGGAGAATTTGAATCTCGTAGACAGGCTTATGGAGCTCGTGAAGGAATACAATCTAGATAAGAGTGAATTACATTTACTCGGTAAGTCTGATTATGTAATGGATTCTCTGTCATCAAGAAAGATCCATAATCTTAATGAAACAGTGAAGTTGATGGTAGCAGCTGGTTATAAGAAAGAGTGCTATGATGTGTATAGCAGTTGGCGCAAGGTATTCTTGAAGGTGTGTCTCAAAAACGAAATATTTGGGTTGCCAACGGAAAACATCAATTCCATCCATGAGTATGAAAGAGAGAAATATTTAGATATTATGTTTGATAGATGGATGACTGCTTTGGATGTAGCTATGATAATCTTGTTTCCCATTGAACAGAAACTCTGCAATCGTGTCTTCTTGGGGTTTTCCTCGGCAGCTTCTAGTTGCTTCTTTGAGGTTTGCAAAGAAGCAACGTCTCAGCTGCTGTGTTTTGCAGATACAATTGCTTCTGGGAGCCCTACAAAATGGCGTTTGTTCAAAATGCTTCAAATATTCGGGCATTTGGGTAATCATATTCCAAGATTCCAATCTCTTTTCTTGGATTCGACTTTATTGAACGAAGCAATCGCAGTTAGGAATAGATTAGGAGAAGCTAGCAGGGATCTTTTCATGGAAATGCATAATGTTATTTTCGGAGTTCCTGCAGCAAAGGAAACTGTTCTGACTCACGGTCTTCACCGAATTACTTTTGAGGTCATGAGCTACGTGTCTCTTGCTTGCATGTCGCGGAAAAAGTTGGAAAAAATTTTACAAGCATACCCCAAAGTTGATAATCAAGTGGAAGCGTCTTCTTTTTTCTTGAAGCAGATGGAGCAGATAATGGAGATGTTACCTAAAAAATTGATAGCCAAGTTGAAAAATTGCAAGGACCCTGCTTTGCGCCATATTTTTAAGGTAAATAATAGGAGCCACATAGAAGCTATAAATCAATTCTATAAATTGGAAACTATTTTTGGCAATGATTGGTTCCAAAATAACAAAGCAAAAATTCGACAACACATTGAACTTTATAAAAGAATTTCGTGGAATGAGGTGTTGGACTTTCTGAAGCCGAAAGACAATGACCTCATTACACGAGAATTATTGAAAGAGAAGATCCATTTGTTCAACACTCACTTTGAAGAGATATGCAGAGTTCAGTCTGATTGGTTTGTTTTTGACAATAAGCTAAGGGAAGAAATAATATCATCTGTGGAAAATGTCTTGCTTCCAGCATATGGAATCTTCATTGGGAGGCTTCAGTATTTCCTTGGTAACCAAGCTTATGAGTACATTAAATATGGAATGTTTGAGATTCAAGATCAACTCAATCAGTTGTTCAGAAAAACGCAAACATACAAATCAAAATCAGAATATATATATAAAACACTTGGTGTGTAGTAATATTATTTTGTGTTTATGATTTTAGATTGACTTGTTTCAGTTCCTTTGGGAGTATATCCTTTGTTTTATATAAAAAAGGAATTGCCAACAAATTTGTGTTGTTAAATGTAGAAATAATAAAACTCACCACAATATAACCAAGTCTGAACTATGGTTGTTACAACATGATTATCTAACAATCAAACGGCACAGAAGTTTGTAATAGGCTAATAGCAATAGCAAATATTTTTGTCTTCTATTTACAGAAAAGCATGTGCACCTTTATACTCCTATATGTCCTTCTCTTTTGGCAACTGAATCATGGACATTCCTCTACAATGCTTTCAACCTTATCCACATAATCATTGATATATTTAATTTGTTTAGACATTGTTATAGCACCAGATAAAGCTTTTGTCAAATCATCAAAACCGGATCTCTCAAATGCAAAGCAAGACATGATAGAATAAGATGAGTTATATGATATTAAGATAATATAAATCATTGATGGTGCAGGAAGTAACAAAGAAGAATGAGGTTTTGACTCTGTCCAGGTTTCGCTATCCACGGTCGAGGCCGCTCAGACACTGGATCCTTCTTGCAAGTGGGTAGAAAAGCTCGAGGCATCATTGAAGGAAGGTCAAGAAGGTCTTTGGAATATGCGTCTTGAGAACCTTGCTTTGACTAAGGAATATGTTAAATCGGTAAAGGAAGGTCTGTGTATGAGTCATTCAAAAATGCCTTGCAACAGATGGAACACTTTTACCCCGGTGCATATTTCGAGGAAGCAGGTCCTTCCTGACTAGGCAATAGTGGAAGGAAAACCAGTCTCGTAGGAATTAGCCGAATGTGTAGTCCTTTTTTTTTGGACGGATTACTCCTGCCTGGCATGCTTTGATATACATAACTATGTGGTTCCGCTAGTAACAGGCATATTGGACAGTTTATTCTATTATTATTAAATGTTGTGTCTGCAGTAACTCTTAGTAACCGTCATGTAATTGATTTGTAACTGATTATTGAACGTTGATCTTGTTCTGATTAGATCATCCTTCTTTCCCAGAATTTTATCTTCAGGGTGAGCTATGCTACTTCTGGATAGTCTTTTCTGGAGTTGTTCAACAGAAGTTGTTGGAGTGCTTATGACATTTCCTTCTGATGTTGTTGGAGCGTCTCTGTTGGGAACTTCTGATGAGTTGCCTTCAGCACCTGTGAATTCAACTTCTATATCTGCAAAAGATTCATTCTGCTTTGACTTTTGAGGGCCAAGCTTGTCATCAAATCTAACACTGATTGACTCTTCCACAATATGTGTTTCTGTATTGTATACTTTGTAGCCTCTTGAGCGTTCAGAGTATCCTAACATAATACACTTTTATGGTTTAGCGTCAAATTTGTTCAGATGTCCTTTAGTGTTCAGAATAAAACAGGTACATCCAAAAGGATGGAAATAAGAAATGTTGGGCTTTCTGTTCTTCCACAATTCATATGAAGTCTTATCCAGAATAGGTCTTATAGAGATTCTATTCTGAATGTAACATGCTGTGTTAATTGCTTCAGCCCAAAAGATCTTAGCAATGTTATTCTCATTGATCATGGTTCTGGCCATTTCTTGTAATGTTCTGTTCTTTCATTCTACAACTCCATTTTGTTGGGGAGTTCTAGGACAAGAGAAATCATGAGAAATTCCATTTTCATTAAAAAAGTATTTCAATTTTTTTTGTTTTCAAACTCTCCACCATGACCACTTCTGACTTTGACAATTCTAAGATCTTTCTCATTCTGAGCTTGGTTACAGAAAGCAACTAACACAGAATTTTACTTGTCCTTGTGTCTCAAGAACTTTACCCATGTCCATCTCTATAGTCATCTACGATCACTAACCCATACTTTTTTCCACTAACAGACGCGGTTTTCACTGGTCCAAATAAATCTATATGCAGAAGTACTAATGGCCTAGAGGTAGAAACAACATTTTTAGCTTTAAAAGAAAGTTTTGCAAATTTGCCTTTCTGACATGCTTCACACAGAGCATCTGAGCTCGACCAGATTGAGTTTGTTAATCTGATATATTCTTCTCATACTAACATGCCCCAATCTTCTGTGCCAGACCCATTGCTCATTGTTAACAGAAAGAAGGCATTTTACATTATGACTCTTTAGTTCATAAAGTTTTATCTTATAAATGTTGTTTTTTCTCTTTCCATTAAACAGGATAGCTCAATCTTTCTGACTAACAGCTTTGCATGAATTTTGATTAAAGATTATATCATAACTGTTATCACTTAATTGACTTATGGATAACAGGTTATGCATTAATCCATCAACTAATAGCACATTATTAATAGAAGGGAGATTATCATTACCTAATGTTCCAGAGCCAATGATCTTCCCTCTTTGATTGCCTTCAAAACCCACGTAACCTCCAGGTTTAAGTTCCAGACTTTGGAACATATGCTTTCTTCCTGTCATGTCTCGAGAGCATCCAGAGTCCAGGTACCATGACTGGTGTTTTAGCCTTGCTGCTAAAGATATCTTCTACATATATAATTTTGTCCTTAGGTACCCATATCTTTTTGGGTCCTTGTTTGTTAGTTTTACCAAAATTCTATTTGAATTTTGGTTTGGCAGATTATATGGTGTGCGTTTGATTACTAAGTCCATAACTTTCTTATGTGGGGATACCTTACCTTGGTATCCTATTCCTTTTCTTCCATTTCTTCTAACTCCATAGATCATTGAAGCCATCTTACTTCTATCTATGTTTTTAGCCAGAAACTTCTGAAAGTTATGATCATATTCTTTTATGATCTTATCAGCATTACTGGGAGCCTGTGAGATTATTTCCTTCTGAGAGTTTTGTAAGTCATTTTCTAGTTATGAAATATTTTCTTTTAACTCATAATTTTCTAATCCAAGACTCTCAGTTTCTTCAGAGTCAAAAACAAGATCCTTTTTCAGGTTCTTGAATTTGACTGAGTTGTTGATACCTTTCCAGAATTTCACTCAGACTTTCTCCTAGTTCAACTTTGGTAAAATTAACAGTAAAGTCAGAAATACCTCTTATGTGTCTGATTCTGATTCTGACCCAGATGCTTCGTTGTCTTCTGTCACATTTGCCATAAGATCAATGTTGTCTCTTTCATCATCTGACTCTGTGTCTGCGTCAGAAGTATCTGAATCATCCCATGTTTCCATGAGACTTTTCTTCTTCTCCTTGAAGAACTTCTTTTCAGGTTTCTCCTTCTGAAGCCTTGGACAATCATTTTTGTAGTGCCCTTGTTCATTGCAGTCATAGCAGATGATGTCCATGTTGCTTGACTTTCTGTGACCAGAAGCAGCTTCAGACTTTGTATCCAGAGGAGGGTTCAGACTTTCTGTATCCATAAGAGGATTCAGACTTTCTGTATCCAGAGGGTGATTCATTCTGATTTCCTGATCTTCTGGAGTTTCTGAATTTTCTTTGCCTCTGCTTCCACAACTGATTGACTCTTCTGGAGAGAAGAGACAATTCGTCTTTTTTCTGATGAGGATCCATTAGAGGTTTCTTCCATAGCCTACAAAACCTTAGAATCAATTTTTTTGTTAGATTTTAATGCTAAAGGCTTACCTTGCTTCTGAGGCTCGTCATCTTTTAGCTCTATCTCATGACTTCTGAGGGAGCTGACAAGTTCCTCCAGAGATATCTTGTTGAGATCTTTTTCCAGCTTGAGAGCAGTGGCCATTGACCTCCATTGCTTCGGTAAACTTCTGATGATCTTCTTTACATGATCGGCAGTAGAATACACTTTGTCAAGAACTTTCAGCCCAACAACTAGAATATGGAATCTTGAGAACATTGCTTCAATGGATTCACTTTCTTCCATCTTGAAGGCTTCGTATTTTTGAATTAGCGGAAGGGCCTTGGTTTCTTTAACTTGTATGTTGCCTTCATGCATCATTCTCAGAGAGTCAAACATGTTTTTGGCTATCTCTATGTTTGAGATCTTCTCATACTCTGAATATGAGATGGCACTAAGAAGAATTGTTTTGGCCTTGTGATGGTTTTTTAAGTCCCGCTTTTGTTGGTCAGACATTCTTTTTCTATCAATATTCTGACCACTTTCATCCACAGGATGCATGTATCCATCAATTACCATATCCCATAAATCAGCATCATGAGCCAGAAAGAAGCTCTCAATTCTTTCTTTCCAGTAGTCAAAATTTTTGCCATCAAAGACTGGAGGTTTGCCGCTGATTCTGTCCTTATCATCATGATAGTCATTGTTGATGTTCTGACTTGGTCCCACCATAGTGTTTTTCTTAAGCTTGGATCTTGTACTGACACGGTTAAGTGTATGAACTCAGAACCAGGTGCTCTGATACCAATTGAAGAAGTAAAAAACACAAGAAGGGGGGTTGAATTGAAACTTAAAAATCAAAAGCAATTGACACGATGATTTTTATCCTGGTTCACTTGATCTCAAACTACTCCAGTCCACCCGCCAAGGTGATTTCGCCTCTCTCCAACGAGGACTTAATTCATTAATCAAACTGATTACAATTCTAATTTGACAACTTCCAAAGTCTTCTTGAGTACAACCACAACCCGGTTTATCTCAAGGAAATTCACTAATCAAAAGAAAGAATTCACTGTGTACTATATGTTTATCGTTACAAAAACTATATGCAAACAGTGATGTATTACACGATTTTAGAGAATAGTATGAATATAATTTAGCAGCGTTTAGAGATTGTATAGAGCAGTTGTGTAAAATCGTAAACAATTTAGCCTTAGAGCTTGTTTATATAGGCGTGGCAATCTGTCCAAATGGAAACATGATAATTGGCACTTAATTCACTTTCCATAATATGAAGAACCTTGTCTGATTATAGCCGTTGTAATTGATACTGCCTTGATGGAAAAGTAACGCTTCAGAACTTAAGGAATCTTGCTTGCTTCTTTGCTTCAGAATTTGGGAAGTCAGAATCATAAGGTTATGTTTGCATGTTAGACTTCCATTCAGAATTAAGATGTCTTTCTCTTGAGTGTAAATTCTGATCTTCATTCTTCAGAACATTCTGATATCAGTCTTGCTTACTCAGCTTGAGCACCTTTGAAGCTTGACTTCTGATGCAGTTCAGTCAGAAGTTCTGTACAACATAGAACACAAATTTAGAGTGCATATTTTTTCTTTGTGTTTGTTATCATCAAAACTCTTACGAGGGTTGTAGAATCAAACTATGTTCTAACATGGCTAACTACCAAGATCGGGTGAACCCTTTAATCACCACTTTGGGGTGTCTTACTTCATCCATGCCCTTCAATTTGTGGGGTTGATTTCTTTAGTCGTACGCTTGGAGAATTTGCGATAACACCCCACAATGCTCATTGTGGGGTTTTAATTGCTTTGGTAGTATGTATTGAAGGGTAATTTAGTATTTCTAGTTGCTTTAATAACTTAGCTATTAAGTTTATTCTATTAGGGCCTATCTGGCAGTTTATTTGTGTATAAATAGTGTAATTGTAGATGTCATAAATACAACAATATTCTTCCTTGCAGCTTTAAATTCGTCATTCTCTTTGCTCTTATAAATATATTCTTTTTGTTCATCATCACCTTGTGCACCAATAAATTGATATCTAGAGCTCTGGTTCTGATTCACGGGGAAACACAGGTGAAATGGTTAGGCGTTGTATGATTGATTTTGGTTCTTGAATTCGTGTTGAATTTTGAACAAAAATCAGAATAGAATCACATTTTTTCTGATTCTATGGGATTCAGAAACACTGTTTAAAGAGATCTTAGTGTTTTGTAAAAG